TACAGTATAGAGTTGTTCGCCAAGTTTTTTTGCAATTTATACATCTTATAGAAGCGTGATTATTGAGAGTTTATTTAAAAAGAAATCTCGCTTCTATTCTATATTTTACAAACGTGAGTAAAATTTCTTATTCAACTTTACAATTAAAACGCATAAACTTAAATAAAAAAATGATTCTGCATATTTTCAATGCTTATTTTGCGTATTTGACATGAAACAATATCCACAATCAAGTTGATCTTGATTTACTCTTGTGTACGTACACATGTATGTTTTATATATGTATATATATGCATCTAATAAATAGTATATAATATATATATATTACAATACGTAAAGCATAATGTAATATATAATGAACTATAAATACTTAGATAATGTATAATGTATATATAATATATATTATATACATATTTATAAAATATATAAAACATGTAAAAAATATATAAAATTGACAAAAAACAATGCGCAATCATGAAAATTATTAATCAATTTTTCTTTATTAAGCAAAGTATTTTTTTGCCATTTTATTATTCTTTGTATGAGAGGTAAGAGATCATTAGTAAATAACTAAAAGCATTTGATTAAAAAAAAATACAAATATATCGTGCGTTATTTTATTTGCAGAACATCACGAAAAGACAGATATAGGTACAATGCAAGTTCAGATATAAGATGCAAACTGGAAAATTTATTTTTTGTAAAACAGGCATAAAAAAAGTAAAAAACATAAATCAAATCAAGGAATATAAAACGGATAAATAGAATTGCATAAAACCTTACTTGACTCTTTTTCTATCTTTTTTGTTTTTCTCTTAAAAAAAAGAAAAACATAAAAAGATCTTTTTATCTGCTCAGCTTCACTCTATTTTACATGATCTCTGAATTTTTTAATAAACAAGCTATTTTTTCTGCTTTTAGTTATTGAGATATCGTAACAAGTTACATAGTTCATTCTTACATAGTATGAGTATGTTCAGCACATATGTAAAACTTAATGTAAGAGAATAAATTTATATATATATTACATACTAAATTTATTTTTTTATTATCCATATTTAATTTAAGTTAATTTATATGTATCTGCCGATAAAAAAACTCAGCACAATACTTTATCTTGATTAAATCATATCCAAATTGTATTTTGTGTATATATTAATTTTGTAAATACAATTTATTTTTAATTATATTTGAAAATTAATTAAATAAAATGTTACATATTTGACATCAATTTTCAAATATAAATTTAATTTACGCTATAAATTAAATATATTATCTATTCTTCTTTTTTCTATCTTCCCTCTCTTTTTTTTTTTGTAATTTTTTTTCTATTCAATTACTTTTTTAAATAAAAAATAAAAAATAAAAAACAAAATTAAAATGATAAATATGCAGTATAGATATACCATCATTCACTTCTTTAAAATTCATTACACGTATTACATTACTTTTATTTATTAGAGAAAGAATAATATTGATTTCTTTGAGACAATTTCAATATGCGTGACATAGCTTTGTAAAACAATGTTTTACATTTCTTCATTCATATAATAGTATTTAATTAGTTTCATCAAGAAAATTTTAGCAGTTTTTTGGTGGTCATGGTTTATAATGTTTGATATCATTTCTCCCTTCAATTTTATTTTTACAATATTCTACTATATTTTACTTAAAAATGTAATCTCGTATTTAAAAAGACCATTGACAAGCTGATTAACAACTGAATTTAACCAATTGAGTATGATGAAAAATTTGTCTTTTATAATTTGATATATTTTTTTGTTTTGCTTTTACGCATTATATGAAATGACGTTTAGGACATTGTTCAGATTTTCCTTGATGAAAAATATTAGCTGATCTATACAAGCATTTTTTGCATCTAATGATGAAAAATTAGCCTTCTATAGCTCGAGGTGTTGCCAATTAACTTATTATGTATAAAATGAAGTTATATACAAAATGAAGTTATGGATTTTGAATTAACAATGAAAAGAAATTAAATTTTAATTTAATTTAAATTCGCATTCGTTTATTATAAACTGTTATTTCAAATTGATTCATATACTTTCATTAATGACTCCTTTAGTTTCGTAATATCTTTTGTAAACAAAGTATGACGTTATGTTTGTTTTTTTCCATTTAAATATTGGATATCGAATACCGAGATTGTGATTGAAGACATCTTTATAAAATAATATAATTAATATTTTAATTATAATTTACATAAAGTGATACATTTTACAGTTTTTTAATTATGTTCCTCACAGTCATTTAAAATAAGTAATTGATATATAATAGTGTAATACCATTTTATGTAATTTTTGTATATTAAAATAAAATGAAAAAAGTATGACTTAATGCAAAAGATTGTATAGATCAGCTAATATTTTTCATCAAGGAAAATCTGAAGGTTAAACCTAAACATCATTTCAATGCATCAAAATAAAATATCTAATGTATCTCAATATAAAATATGGTTTTGTTTATCAGTTAATTAGTTTTCTTTTCATTGTTAATTCAAAATCCATAACTTCATTTTGTATATAACTTCATTTTATACATAATAAGTTAATTGGCAACACCTCGAGCTATAGAAGGCTAATTTTTCATCATTAGATGCAAAAAATGCTTGTATAGATCAGCTAATATTTTTCATCAAGGAAAATCTGAACAATGTCCTAAACGTCATTTCATATAATGCGTAAAAGCAAAACAAAAAAATATATCAAATTATAAAAGACAAATTTTTCATCATACTCAATTTCTTATCAATCATACGAGAGGACCATAACATTTCTTCATCATCACATATTTCATACGCATTAAAGTAAAATAAAAAATGTTTTCAATGCAAAAAAATATGTTTTTGTGTATCTAATTAGCTAATTTCTTTTTATCATATTAATTCAAACCAAAAGCTTAACATCATCCACTGACTTTTATGATCAGTTAATTAATCATTTCATTTTCATTCAAAAGGAAAGACTTAATCATCATTTCAATATATATTTTCATGCATCAGAATAAGATGAAAAAGATGTATCATTTTATATAAAAGATACTTTCGTAAATCCGCTAATTATTTCTCAAAGAAATTTAAATAAGAAATGTCACTTTATACATGTTTTAATATATCAAAGTAGTGTTTCATTTAATGCCAGAGATGTTTACGTAGTTCAGCTAATTATATATTATTTTTGGCAACATAATTCAAAAACTGCAGATTATTTTTTTGTATATATTTTCATACACTAGGATAAAGTGAAAAATCATTTTATGCAAAAAATACTTTTGTTGATTATTGTAAATTCGTTATTATTCTCAAAGAAATTCGAACAAAAAATAGTAATATATCTTTTTATGTATATATGTTTTTATGTAGCATATCAAACAAAATGTATCACTTAAAGATGCTTTAGATACTAAAGTATATCAGTTAAATCTTGTTATCAAAATTTAAAATAAAATATATAACATTATTTCATATGCTTTGTATATCAGTTAATTATTTTTCTCATTATATTTATTCAAATAGGAGATGTTTGCATCATTTTATGCAAAAGCTGCTTATTTATATATATTATAGTTTATTATTCTTTTTTGATAAATTAAAAGAATATTCACATTATTTCATATCTTTGTACATCAGCACGAAGCAAATAAAAATTTATATAAAAAATGGTTTTGTAAAGATTTTTTTTTCTATTAATTACCAATTTTTCTACATTTATTAATAATTTATCAATAATATTTCTTTGCTGTATGTAACTATATAATTGTTTTTATGTCACTATAAAATAAATAATTCAATATGTATGATTAACTTTATTTTTATATAACTCATGTGATTCCCAAAAAGATAAGTCGTATATTTAAAGTTGAAACAAAAAACTGTATCATCCACACTTACGTGGCATGTCATGTGTAATTGAAGACATAAAAGCTGAAACCGTTTAAAAAAATGTTACTCTCGTTATATGTATCTAAAATTATAATGAAAATTTTCTTTTTAATTGCATTGAGAATGTAGAATTGATAAAAAAATCGTGTTTAAAAATATTATTACTTTTTATAATTGATTAATACCTAAATAAATTATATTTAATTCATATATTTCATTAAAAAATTCATTTCTAAATATTTATATTCCAAATTATATAAACAAATTGTATTATAATTTAATTTAATTTAATATACGTTTATTATATAAAAATTTTATAATTTCTTGTAAATTATAAGACTAATATTTTATCTCTTTCCTTTTTATTATTTTTTTTCTTATTAAACACATTAATGTTATGCAATTTATCATTTGCTATAATATTTCTTAGCATTACTTATTTGTCAGCATTTATCAATAGAAAGAAGTAAAAATTTGATGAATATACAAATATATCGAGTATAGAAAAGAATATGTGCTTTGGTAATACATTAGAGTATTTAATTTAAATTACATAATACATTTAATTTATGTAATATATTTAAAGCCAAAGTATAAAAGTAATATTACTTGTTATGTATGTTTAATTTTATACAGATATTTCCACATAGATCAGTGCTCTGAACGCTTCATCATTTCTATGTAAATTTTATTATGCAAGCGATAGTGTATAATGTGATATTATATATCCTGCAATAATTATTGCAATGTTTTTAAATATCATATGTAAAATGTTTTAATATTAAACAAGTTATCTTGCAATTTAGTATTTATTAAAATGCTAATTTTATATTTATAATATTGTACATACTTAATTATTATGAAAAAATTCAAAAATTTTTATACAGATTAATAAGCATAACATATTGTAATGTTTTATATATTTAAATATTTCAACAATTAAATATATGTTTTATAAATATTTGTAACGTATACCTAATTGTTACATATAAATTTACATTAGTAAATGTATATGTATAAAAGAATCTGTTCGATAATTATGTTATTATTGATTTTAGGCGGTATCAAGTTGTATCAGATACAACAATTGAGAGTAATATTTTTTTCAGATTTAACTATTATGTCCTCAAACTATAAAATGCGTAAGTTACGAAAAAAATGATGATAATCATATACTGCATTTATCCATAAGAAAAAAGAAAAAGTGAAATTTCTAGATAGATTAAGCTTATATACTCCAGAGATAATTCAATTTAAAAAATGTTTTGACTCTATGACTCGCTCGCACGTCCGATATGACTCAAAGTCAGAACATGAATTTTGATTCATGGCCGCGCGTTATTATAATAATATACACATATCACTTTATGCAGAAGATTCTTACATAAAACAGCGCATTGAATGTTTTATCACTTCTATGCAAATCTTATCATGCGAGCAGTAATGCATACATGTAAAACTTAACGCGCAAGCTTATATACTAAACTGTTTTCACTTACTCATATTAAATCTAATTTAACTCATATGTCCCCTTCAATTGATCATCTCATCATTAACCTACTCACGTTTTTAGATACATTAACTAAACTTGAGATAAATCTCGCTCGTCTCTGTTATTGATCCCTTGAGAACCACGGTTGTCGGTAGGTTCTTGCCATGCAGATGGTCCCGGTAGCCCGGCTCTCTGGTGTTGAGGAGGTGGCGGCAGTTGATGTGCCGTCGGTTCCTCGATGATGCATGGTATGGAGATCTTGTCCCAAGCAAGCTTATTGACTGTAGCCAGCCCGTGAACGCATACGACGCTCTGTGGATGGGGATGACAGGGATGTTGATGCTGTAATACAAGAGTTGTTGTTGATGGAGGAGGCGGCAAGGATGCTTGAGGGTGAGGAGGAAGGGAAGTGAGCCACGTCACGCCTGGCTCCGTCCTGTGTCATTTGCCGGTTTGCTGTAACGCCGCGTTAATTTGCGCCCATAAATCTTTATTACAAGACTGAGATCTGTATACAAAAGAAAGAAAGAATATTGTTAATTTCTTACAATCCTGTTCATGTCTATTTATTACAAGTTTATTTATTACATTCTTTGTATTAAGTTTTACCTCTTGATCGATTGTAACCACTCTTTGAATTGAGTATTTCCTTCAGGATTGATTTGAAAAGCAGCTCTTGCTGCACAAACAATACTTGCAAACTCTTCATAATCGCCAGCTGTTAAATGATATAATTTTTGATGCATACACTGAATGTACCTAAAACCAAAATATGCCAATTGTTACTTGACATTAACTTAAGGCAAAAAGAATTCCCATCATCTTTAATTTCCTTTTTTTCATATTTTTAAAAGCAATACTAACATCTGTTGGCACTTGTGTACCAGTGGAGCCAACAAAGCGGATCTTAAATGCTGTACGATGAGTGCTGGATTGTTTCTAGCAAGATATTGAGCTGCTTCCAGAGCAACATGGTGAAGGACAAAAGGACTCACAATGCTATTCACAGCACAGATACACAATTGATGCATATATTGTGTACCAAGTCTTTTTGCAACTCGAAGTAAGAACTTAACATCCTCTCCATAAGGTGGATTTCGAGCATATTTGGCTTGAGGCCGATCATCATGCACTCTACGAGCTAAAGTTTCTAACGCTAGCATACCCACACGATATGCAGAAACAAGAGTTCGTAATTGCTGTTGATTAAACGCCTGGCTCTGTCGATGAACCTAGAACAAAGAAATTACCCACGTTTATTCAATATAGTAATATTTAGCTACATTATTATATTTTATTACTGTACATATTGTTATTATTGGAAATTACCTGAGGTTGAGCTCTTACAGTCGATATTATAGATTGCGTCTGAACTAGCGCGGGCCCAGGTAAACTGTTTTGTCCAGGAAGAGGACCTGCTACTCCTTGGACCTGAATAACAATGTAAAGTTATATTTCTGAGGGATTTCAATAGATGCAAAAATCAAAGCGTACAGCAGAATGATGCTTACTGGTATAGGTTGTTGCATTGTATATAAGTGACGCGTTCCCGGCGTTGGTGGAGGTTGTGGTGTATAATATGGTCCAGGCGGAGGTGGAGCCGCTGGAGGTGGATGATGTGGATGTTGTGGATGTCCGGGATGATGTGGAAACGGATGATACATTTGCATATGTGGTGCGGGTGGTAAAGTAACTCTGTGTGAAGGCATCGGACCGCTAAACGTTGCAATAGAATGATGAGGATGTACAAAACTATATGGACCCACAGCATACGGCATACCAACGCCTGAAATAAAATTACAAAACAATATTTAGAAACTTTAATAAGAGTTTTAAAAAAAGAAACTCGTTTGTTTTACCTAAAGGTGCCAAAGTTGTAATTGTTGGATGGGTGTAGTGCTGAGGAGGTGGCTGCGTGCTGGTAACAACAACTGTCTGTGCTGGTCCAGGCATCATTTGAGTATTTGATAGATCCACAGAAGGTCCTGGATCGACTAATAATACACCATTAAGATCTAATTGTAAAGGATCGTGAGGAATCTCATCCTGCTGGTCTCCACCAGGAGTTTGCTATAAAAATAAAGATATAGAGAGATAATAAATTCATTTATATTACTAAAGATAATAGTTCATTTTATTTAAACTTACCCGAAGATATAACTCGTACCAATATTTTGCCACTTGGAAAAGGACCTCTGGATAGACACCGCCTCCTTTTGCAGTATTCTCCACTGTGATACAAGCTTTTTCCAACATGGCCTCGCTTTGCTCTTTACACTGAAAGAAAATAAAATATATAATTAACATCTATTTGCACATATAATATATCTCATCATATTATATACCTGAGATATAGCCCTCTGGATTTCATTAGGATTAAGAGCATGTGCATGTGGTAGACAAGATAAAGCAAGTTCCGCTGCAGCTCTGACCATATTTGGATCACTACCTCTCGAAGATTTATCAGCTATACTGACAGCTTCCGGTGGCGTCAAATGTCCTTCCCAGCTGTCAATAAGAAACCAAATAGCCGGAGCTCCAATTTCCATTGCTTGACCAGTTATCCAAGACACATGACTTGAATATGTACGACTGAGCCAATTTGGGCTAACACAATTGTGAAGACCAAGAGCGTACAAGCCAAGTTGGAAAGCACACATATGAAGTGCTCTATGGGGGCCGTGATGATTTTGACTAGTAGATGGTTGAGTGAACAACGAAGTTGAACTTGTACCACCGGCCTTCGATAAGACAGTCTTTGCTAATTCACACATGAAATGCGCGCTTGCTTCTGATGGTTGATTGGGAATAGATGGATATAGCCTTTTGCTTTTATATCTAAGTAAACAAAAAATATAAATTAATGTATAATATATATATATATATTTATTGTTAATATAATCATATCATATATTTGTGTGTTATAATCACGTACCGTGTTTCTTTAGTTCTAATAGGCACAGGTGGCTGCACGATTTGCGGTTGTATAGTTAATGCGCTCATACCAGTTTCCAGTTCTGCACTCGTACTGCTATGAGGTCTACTATTAGCGCCAATAACGTTTTCACCGCCATTATCGGCCCCAGCGAGAGGAGACGAGCGTTCTTCATCATGAACGAATCGTGCCATCTAAAATTTTACGATAAAATATCAATATTAAATATCAATTTTAAAATATCATTATTGTTATATATATGAGTTTTGTAGACAAGTTTTCTATAAAATTATAATTGTATAAGTTTTCTATATCGTAAAAAATATCTTAGATTTTTACCTCACTCTTTGTAGGAGGATTTGAGGTATAATAACTGCTGAGAATGGGTGATTTAATAAGTTGATGAACATCTCGATCCAACAATTTATCCATTATTCTGGCCAATTTTACAGGATCATCTTTGTAATGTACTAGCAGAGTAATGGCCAAATCTCCCCTGAAACAAAAAAATTATTATTATTTATATTAATAAACATATGTATAGACACACATATATATATATATATATATATATATATATATATAATAAAATATTATATATTAATAATATAAATATTACCTTTGTCTGCGAGTACCCTCACAAAGAAGTGGATGATCTGCTTCACTCACATTTGCTTTTAAGCCTAAGACAGCCACGGCGGCGTCAAATCCAAGATTTGGATCAATTTCCGAAGGTAGTTTCACTCCTGTGAAATATTTCAGATTTCTACTTTCTATTTGACAAAGAAATATTTCTTCTTTTGTATTTGCTTTTGTACATATAATTCAATGAAATATTTATTTACGAAAAATTTAAGACATATTAAAAAAATATTCCATACTTGGTACATCAAGAGCATCATATATGAAACTAGCCAACATTATTGGTAAGAGGGCATGTCCTCTTGATCTCATAACTCCATCTCGTAATTGTTCAGCTCTCTGTTTTATCATGGCTAATTCTGTCGGTCCCAAAGGAATTCGTTTCAATAAAACCACCAACTCGCTTTCTTGATGAGCTAATTTGACCTAATTAAATTAAAAATTGCCATCAATCTCACAAATAACATGAAATAAAATAAAATTAATTTTGTTATTGAATTGTTCTCACTTCTAAAGGTTTTGTGTTAGCTGGTGGTCTAGCCATCTCCAAACCAAAAAGGCCCACACGAAATGCCAGATTGTGATACTCTGGATTCTCAGCAAGCACAGTACATAGAAATCCGCATTTTGCTAAAGTTGCTGATGCAAGACACGTTACTTGATGCGACGCTGGATTTACATGTTGCTGTAACACCATTACATATTTCTTTAAAATCGTACTTATTTTAATTTGTTGCATAATTTTTATATTTTTAAAAATATACCCTTTTTCGTTTGTTCTTTACTGGCACTGGCGGTCCCTCGATCATAAGATCAGGAGGATTGGCCAATAGTTCTTCGGCTAGCTGTACTCCAATGATACAAGCTTCTCTCGTATGACCATGAGCATAAAGTCCTTCTGCCCGTGCAAACAAAATGTCCCATGGGTCTTCCGTTTTCTTTAAATTATTTAAAACTATACTGGCATCCGGAGTGGTAGCGGTATGCATATTGCTTTTTGCATATTTACTCGACAGGCCACTATTATTGGTCACAGTTTTTGGATCGTAATAGTAAACATTATATTCATCACCAGAAGGACTATCACTACTAGACGAGGAGCTTTCATCCTTGAATGGCCTCCCAGCTTCTTTCTCCTGATCGGATTCTTGTTCATTTTTAACCCCTTTAGGCATAACCGTTCGCGATTTATCACGACACTCGGTAAGATTCGTCCTACTGCACTTCGCGTTCTCGCAGGCAGGTTTGTTATTACTACTATCACTACTATCACTATGTGTCTCGGACGAGGCGTTTGAGCGATGCTTGTCCGAGCCTTGAGCGTTCTTCATACTAACATTACTGTTGGAAGATGACTCGCTACCAGCCCCTTCCTAAAATAATGCATCGTCATAATGTGATTTAAAAAAATATATTAAGAAAGAGGCATTAATATTAATATTTATTATGTGATAAATTTAAATGAAAGAAAAATAAAATGAAAGAATAATGACCTGCGAATCAGTATCGCCGCAATTATTTATTTGAGCACAACCTTGTCTGAGAACAACCTGAGACTCAGATATATCAGGAATGTCGGTGTCATTTTCACAGAAACCTTCAGAGCTAACACTGCTACGATTTCCGTCACCTCCGCTTCTTGAACACATTGGGAATTCACGCGGATTCAATCGTCGTCTGTCTAAATAGCTAAACTCAAGACCGACATTCAATGGCCGTCGACCATGATGATGTGAAATTGGCGGTTGATAATTTAATACTGCCGAACTGGAATTTACCTAAAAAAAATTGTGCATTTGTCATTCCTTAAATAATATTTCTTTAACTGATATGGAAATAAATTGTAAAAGTCGCTTAGAGATATTTAAAGATACTAACTTGATTAACCTCTGTTCTCGTATCGCCGGCATGCCGAAAACACGTGAAGGGACAGTGATACATAGGATTGTTTTCAGCAGTATACGTAATTCCCGGTAAAATATATTCATCCCAATCAAGATAGCATGCCTCAAGCGCCGATTTGAATCCGGTAAAGACTGTGAGATCATGTTTCAGAGAATCCTTTTGTGAACTATTACTTCTATTGTGCGAATTGTGTGGCACAGAACTACCACGACACTTGGCAACCTGAACATGTAATTAAATTCAAAATCAAATTTGATTTATGATTTATTTATTATTTGATTGATTTTATTTATTTATTATTTGATTGATTTTATCCGAGAGGAGCAAAGAGACAAGAAAAAAAGATGAGTGTTGCTTACTTTATCTATAATCTTCAAATGCCAAGCCATAAACTGATCGTGCAACATCTCGCGCTCTGATGGCGATAAACCGGGATTTAGAGCGGCCAATCGCCAGAGAACGACGATCTCGTCGCACAGAGACGAACAGGCGTGTTGAGAAGCGTGCACGTTGCTGTTCATGTTATGCTTGCTGCCATATCCTGTGCCGTTCAGTAATGCGACTTTGGTATTAAACCACCAAACGAGGATCTGTTCGCAAGCCATACACTCTTCCGTGATAATCTCTAATAAAGGTATAGCATTGCGGTCATTCCTCTTGAACATTTCGCGTACAATAGAAAGTAAATTCCACATGCCCTCTGGTTCACGCCCTCTCAATGGTCGCAGCAAGGACGCCCATTCGGACGCGGCTGGAGGTGCAGTAGTACTCAAGTAATTAACATCGCTGAAAAAAACATGAAATAAATTAAATAAAATAAATTATGTTAAGCTGCAAATGCACTCGTCGATTTATTTACGCGTGGCTATTCACCTGAAGACTATAGGAGCTGGCACACAGAACTTAATAAGGATTTTCTTGATGTTATCGTGTAACGTTTTTTCGTCTAAGTACCAAGAGGTTTGATCATAAGCGGATGCTCCGGCAGTTGGATCTGGAGCTCCGCAATAACTGTTAATAGCGCTTGGTTGGGTCGAAAGTAGCTCATCCAGGAGTCGCTGGGCAGTAGGCAGAATTTGCTGAGGTAACTCACTAATGAGATATTGAGCGAACTTCTGCAATTGTTCTCGATGCAATCGCGACAAGGATTCGCTAACTGGCGCTCTTAGACATACTTGAGTTGGCTGAAAAAAATATTACAAACATTAAGATAACCCGTTCTTCTATATTATTCGATACAGAAAAAAAGATAGAATAATAAGAAAATGTACATTGTGTGTAATATATATCATACAGAAGTACAGAAGTACGAAGTACAAAATAAAAAATGTATATAAAAAATGAAAAAAAAAATAAAAATTAAAAAATTTTACTAGACGTTATTCAGATTTTCCTCCTTTCTTCTAATTCGTCTTTGCCATGTCTTCTAAAGTTAATATGCGCATACCATATGTATTCTATGCAGGCAAACAGCTACCACATGTGCGCACCAATAGGCCGTTGAGGAGCAGGTGCAATTACATGATGTAATTCTTCGCCGATCAAAGGTCACAGCAACATTGAATTGTGCTCTGACCCCATTTGTTTGCGGATTTACACTGGCACTCAGGTGAAATCCTGTGGTAATATGAGGCATATATTGACAAAAGAGGATAAAGAAACAGTGATAAAAAATAATTTAAAATAAAAATCAAAAAACAGGGCGGTAGAACATTATAGAAACTTATACACAAAAGCATTACTGCCACTTTTCATAAAAAAATCTTGTCTATCTACATTTTCACTGCGTTATTCAATTTTGTACAGAGATTAATCATATATTTGCTAATATTAGTAACTCGTAAAATATCAAAATAAAATTTCACAACAATTCTATTTTAATATAAAAATATTTTGCGTTAAAGTAATCGTGATGTAAAGTATCTTGCCAATTTGAAGCGGCTCCTTAACAGTCTTTGCACGGTAAAGATGCTCGCCGCGAAGAAATTCGTCGGCGCTTCCATTTGCGAGACATGAATAAAGCCGTATGTCTTCTTCATTATCCGGGAAGCTCCAAAAAGCTATTCTCAGCTGAAGCTGCTCCGGTACAGGAGGATAAAAATGTTCGACCAGCTCGAAAGGTATATGAGATGCGACGCATCTCGCAGAAAGTTCGCAAAGAGTTGGCACCGTTTGTTGTCCATCTGTAACAAAATAATAAACCAGCGACGATAACAACGAGACTCAGCGATAAGAAATTTATCGAATATCACTAATAATTTACAAAAAAAAAATATTATACTCCTAGCAAATGTTAATTTTCTTTCTTTTTATTCGCATACATTTGTTCGCTGCTGTAACAGCTGTACAGCTGAAAAATAATTGCGCGACGCTCTTTTCCCGTCTTCGTTCACAATTATGACGTGCAGCAGGCTCGTGCAAAAAATAGTTCGTCACGAGTTAGTCGCCACAGCAATATTCTCTAATTATCATCCTATGCCCAGTAACGAGTAGGCGCGCTTTCGCGACTTTGCTGCTCGCGAGGTAGCGTGCATGATTTTCTCGAAAGATAAACTCGGCACCAATGCTTGAGAAAATAAAAATTGTCCTGCAATAATCAGCGGTTTTCACGGGGATACTTGGTAAAATAAGTACGAGATAAATGTCCACCAGTGCCCGTATCTCCCTGAAGTTTTCAATGCCTCAGACAATTCTGTCTGTTTGAAAATAAGTAAAATTCAATTATTCTTAATTGCTATAGATTGTAGTTTTATTGGTAACGTTGATAATGTCGGATCCACACGAAAATTAAAAAGCACATGTGTTTAACGCGTAGTTTAACGTTTGTTTCAGTATATTATTACGTATTTCTCATATCGAGAATGAAATCTGTCGGGATAGAAGAGTTATCGGGGTACTTTGTGTATTATACAGCATCGCCTGACATCAAGTCATCAAAAACGTACTCAAGTAACATTGCACAACATGATATATTAGTCCTCACTAGTGCTTATCACTCTTCAAATTATTCCACAAATGGTTCTATTGCTAAAGCAGTCAGCGAAAGTAAATAGATTCGTCTAGCGATGCGGGCTCGATAGAGGGCTTTTTCACCAAAGTCCACGCTTAATTAAGTTTAGAAGCGCCAGAAATAACTCGGCTAATACCGAAAGGAACGGTTCGTTAGCGATAATTGCGATCGATGGCATCAATCATCGTTACCGTCCGTCGTATATGGACTTTTATGAATGACGTTCTTATTTGCGCGGCTTCCACGATACAAAGAGTGATACATGAGAACCTTGGACAATTTATGGATACCGGAGGAAAAATAATGAGAAAATAAAGATGTATGAAAGCAAAGAGAGCATGAGATATAAATCCTATTCACCAAAATTTCGTTTCGTCACGAATAAATCTCGTCGAAAAATTTCGTGTATAATCAGATTATATCGCAGCGCACACACACCACACACCACACACCACACACACACACACACACACACACACACACACACACACACACACACACAGAGAGAGAGAGAGAGAGAGAGAGAGAGAGAGAGAGAGAGAGAGAGAGAGAGAGAGAGAGAGAGAGAGAGAGAGAGAGAGAGAGAGAGAGAGAGAGAGAGAGAGAAGAGAGAGAGAGGGAGAGAGAGAGGAGAGAGAGAGAGAGAGAGAGAGAGAGAGAGAGAGAGAGAGAGAGAGACATGATTTTTCCAATCCGAACGAGACATACGACAGTTTTCGCAGGATGTTGCTCAGCGCTTTATCGATCTTCGGCTGGACGGCGGGGGCGCAAGTTCGAGTTTCAAACGAGAGTGCGGCATCGAATGCCTACCGTCCCGGAAAGTAATACCGCCGAATCAATAGCGGAAAACGCAGGTCTTCACTTTCACGCGCGGTGGACGCGATACCAGAAAGTTATTATCCGCATATTCATGGCCGACCTTACGCGGAACAGACGGATGAGAAAGCAAGCTCTCGCGCGCCGTTCTGAAAATAGTCGACCGGTTTAATGAATGGACGCTTGTACATAATGACGCTTCGTATATAAGTTCGCGTTACACGTGTTTGTTAGATGCCATATTCGACGCGGAAATTTACAGCGAGCGACTCGTCGCGAAAAATTTCTAACCAGTCGCGCCGACGTTGAAAACGGAAGAGCACTCACATGAAATGAACGTGAAATGAAAAGCGCACCCAGTGTATTTTTCCCCTCTCCCGCCTTTTACTCCCCGGGTCTTTCTCATGCGGGGACCGTAACGAGCTTGCCGTGGTCGCGGTTTTGCTGTGCAACGTAATTTCCTTCTGTTTCGACGCAAGCTGCGGCCGCCGCGCCGGAAAATTCTCTCGGATAATCGCGCTCCCGCTCTCGCAACTTGTCGAGTGCCAACTTACAAAAAATTTCCATTGCTCCGAGGCCGTTTTTTTTATCCACATGATATTTGCACGATCAAGTGGGGAGAGCGAGATACTATCGAATTGATGCCAATCGAATAATGATTTAATTTGCCGAAATTCTATTGTTCGCCACGCGTCACATTATTAAATTGCTTCTCGTTGGGGAAAAGTTAAAAGAAAATAAAGAAAAGATACAGCTGTTTCGTTTCGTTAAAGAGGAAAATATTTCGAAGAAAAGACTCGGTATTCTGAAAGCTAGTTATTTTTTAAATCGCTCAGAAGTAGAGAAATTTCAGAAGTGATATTAAAAAATATCCAAGTCGCACGGATTGAAATAATAGCACGGATCTGTCCAATTGAGATGCATTTTTAAAATGTATTAGGATGAATAGTGGAGGAGAGAGGGAGAGATATAGGTGAGCAAACATTTCTACGGATTCGCGAAATGCGTACGCGCTCGGTTTCCACAAAGCGGAAGCTCGGCAATCAAATTAAGATTGAATCAATAGAAATTGAATTTCCATTAATAATAGGTCGCAGCGTGGTAACGTCATTTCCGTCGGATCGAGAGCACGCGAAGTTCCCGCCGTCTCGACTCCACTCGGATTCGCGTTTCATACGGATACGGCAAATGCGGATCTCGGTGCAAAGAACGATAGGATAATCGAACCGAGCTTAAGCAATCGCATTAAGCCATAATACTACTGTTGCAGCCTAATGCGATTGCCACTTACAATTGCGGTTATCTAACGAGCGTTCGAAGCGCAGTAATCATCGCACGCATTTTGCGGCATTACAGATAGTAATCATCCGGGAAGCGTGATAAAATAAATAATAAAACTGCAATAT